AAACCAATAATTTAACTTAGCCTTACTTTTCAGACATTACAAACTCTAAAATACCATTAATAATACCTGAAAATACCTAAAACATGACTTTGTTGTCACTGTTGGGTCAGATACCAGATATTATTATATATACTAGATATAACTTAAGATGTGACTCAACTGTTATTGGACTAAAGAAAGGTCAATGACAGAATTCCTTTATGTTCACTGTCACTAAGTTTATTTGAACATTTGTTCATATTAACTTCATGATGGATTATAGCTAGTTTCCAGAGTAAGGGATAAACAGAGGACTTATGTGGCTATGAATGACGAGTGAACACGTCGGGAGACAACAAACAAATACGACAACGTTTCATTTCCAATATTAAAAGATGTTAACGAATGACGTCAATGAAACACCAGATTATGTTGAAAATCAATCATTTTATAAGGAGTATATTACAATTCAAGCATATTCCCAACCGTTAAAACACAACAGTTAGAATTAAACATCTTCCAAACTTTGATGAAGACTTTGTACGAACCCTGTAACCATAATATAAGGGGTGAAAAAGGCCACAAAGGCGGAGAGGCAGACGTCCGGTCAGCAGGTAATGAAGCGGTGTTGGGTTATGGCAGAGTGAACTGGGCCTTAAAAAAACGTCACAATCTGTCTGAAAAATCCCTTAAAAAGTGAAAAATTAACTGATCACAATGGAAATAAAACCAACCGTACCTGTAAAACCAACTCGTTAGCTTTTCTGGCAACTAACAGGAACAGCTCAAATCAAACACACGCAGTATTTTGGATTTAATGAGCAAAAAATGAAACCAAACTGAGTTGTCCATTTTATCATTGAGGTGCCAGAGTGCCGTGGGAATATCATTACATTAGAACAAATTCTACAACATCCCAAAATATGGATCCATCTCAGGTGAGTTGTGAGCTGAACGGACCCCGAGAGGTTCAGAATCGTCCAGAAACAAAAAGGTTTCTGAAACGTGAATCCGCGGATCCTCGAAGAGGTTCCAGACGAGAAGAAAACGGCGAATGTGTCCTGACGAGCAGTTCGCCTACATCTCGTCAGCGTGTGCAGGTTTGGCGGGATCGCGGCTTCCTTTCCCCGCCGCCGAGCTCAGACGCAGCGCCAGAGGTTCGGTCTGCCCGGCAACAAGAGCTGAGCTGTTCCCCGATCGGCTCCCCTCTTGGGCCGCCCCGTCAAAGCCCGTATTTTCAGGGTTTTCTATCGGTTCCTGGAGGACGGCGGCGCCATCCGGAGGTCCCGATTGGCTGAGCTCAGAGGGCGGTGACGCAGAGTCGGACTGGACGGCTGGACCGTCGGCGCCGTCTGCTGCGGGCTGGGAGGAGGAGGAGGGGTCAGTCAGGATGTTTCTGGAGATAACTAGAATGACAGAAGAATATATTGGTGTTACTTTAAGTATCTGTGGTATCAAACGTACCACAACACATCACATGACCATCCACTACCAGCCAATGTGACGCCATCTTCCCTCAAAAGCCTCAAAGAAGAATCCGTGATGTTTTACAGCTTCAGCAACCATCAATAACTCTGAATGTTATCACATCCTCAGTTATATTGTTCCTCTATTTAACCATTTATGCCAAAACAAATTCACAAAAACTCAATTTCTTTGTATTTTTAGATCAAAATCCAATTATTTGGTCTTCCTGTAAAACAAAATGTGACGTCTTGTCAATCATTCTTCAGGAAGGTTCATTAGAGATGACAGCATGGCACTGATTACTGTACAAACACAACTTTATCAGTGATTTGGGTGAAACTGGATCGTATTTCATGGAGAGAATATTGTCTGGTTTCCCGAATGGTTACGATGCCACATGGCCTCCAGCCACCGTTGTTAGCGTGTCACACCCCTCTTTTTCCCCCCGTGCCACAAAATAAAAAAGAAATATCACAACAGGAAGGAAGTGACGACTGACCTCCTGTGGGTCTGTAGTCGTCGTCTGCGGACGAGTTGCGGCTGAACGGACTGAAACTCGGCATGATGATCAGACCCAGAGAGACCAGGATGATCTGAGGACACAGGTGGACATGATTTGGTCATAAGACAGCCGACACATTACACCCTTTTCCACAGATCCTTCAAGAGAACACAAACAAAGTCACACGATTCAAACCAGCAGAAAACGTGGACTAGGGTTGGCCGACCGGACGGAGACTTATTAACTTGTCTTTGACTTATATGTGTTGGAATAAATGAACTAAAGGTCTCCTTGCTGGTTGTTCTGACACACTGAGAATCACATTACCGCTCTTTCTGTTAACATTTAACTCATCGTGAGAGAATAAAAAAGGTGTTTTAAGACGGGATTTAAAAGGAGCTGCTTTAGCCTCCATCTTGGCACAACAAGGAGCAATAAAAACAGAATCAAAACAGAGCTCCTGCACCAAACTCTGTTCATATTTTTACTCATTTTACTATTTCAACCAACAAGTGAGAAGTGGAAGCAGAATGATCTTAAAATACATGTTAATGATAGCGAACCCTAACGCACACACAGACACACACACTCTCAGACAGACATCCTGTGTGTCTCCTACCAGTAAGCAGGTGCTGGTCTGGGCTCCTTTACTGACCGTCTGTTTAATCAGAGACTGAAGCTGTCGCAGCTGAGCCAGCAGAGACCTGAACAGCAGGAACACATCGACATGCGTCAACTTTTAGCCCTAATCTGACCTCAGAACTGTCAAATAAAAGATGATGAAAGGCCTGATGGACTGACTCTGCTTCTTCCTGTTTTTCCTGTTTGTTAATAACTCAGAACATCTACGTGGGTCCGGTGAAACTACAATGGTAGCTCGGGTCGAACGCTGCTGCCCCAAGGAATTGTGGGACGGGATTATCTCCTTTCCTTTGGGAAACGATGGTCCAGAGTCTCCTACAGCAGGCTGAAGATCAGAAAGGAAGCACTGGAGCAAGAAGAAGAAGACAGAAAGAAGAAAGAAAGAAAGAAGACAGAAAGAAAGAAGAATACAGAAAAACGACAGAAAGGAAAGAAGACAGAAAGAAGACAAAAAGACAACAGAAAG